ATAATCAGATGTATATTGACAAACATGATTAAAACACGATGCAAAAACTTGGTTAGATTACAGATCTCGTATGTTTCTCCTCATCCTGTCTCTCTCAATGGTAACCTGCAATTGAAAAAGGAAAAAAAAAAAAAAAAAAAAAAGAGTAGGATGGAAGGGAAAGGGTAGGCAGCAATGAAGAAAAGGCATGAGATGAAAACAAAAACTGTCCAAGTGGATAGGCTTCCAGAACAGAATCAGAAAGAGAAAGGGTCCGGATGCCAAAATTAAAAATAAAACTAAACATCAACACATCCTTTTTCCTGTTTAAATGCATAAAATCCATTTTGCTAAACAAATTCAGATTTGTTCCAACAGCTAAGCAGCTCATTTTTAAATAAGCACACAGAGCTCAACTGTACAGATGCAAGCATTTTTCTTAGTGTGACATTACTATTAAATGTACAATATGAGTATACACATAATTTAAAAAAAGAATCATAGTAAAACTACTTTTAAATACTTCCATATACCACTCCCCATTCCATCATCATTCCAAGTTTTCTTACTGAAATGCATGAGCTCAGGAAGGGGACTAGGTACCTAAATTGGTCACAGGACAGTAGATTTGCACAACCACCTTCCAGTTTTGTTCTGCCTCTGAAGTATATTAGGGAATTCACAGTTAAGGTGCAAAGCCTTCCTGCAGCATTGAGAGCTGAAAAGATCTTTACACATTCCATTAATGCTCCACATCATCCTCAACATTCATGCCTTTCAGAAGATCAAATGAAATTATAGGTACAGTCAAGCAGGCCAATTTAGATCTATTTTGTTAAATGCATACAAATGTGCTTTTAAAAATGAGGATAGGTTTGTAAAATAAGCAAAAAGCAAAAGTAAAAGCTTTGATTAAAATCAACAGAGATTAAAATACCCCAACAGAAATATTGTAATATCCTACTGGGAAGATTTTTTTTCTTTTCACTGGGAAATTATAAAGTGCAAGTATTCAAACAAAAATTAGGTATCACCAACATTAACTTAATTGTGTTTAGCAAACTGCAATTTCAGTGTATTTTTGAAAGAAAGTATTCTTCACTATCCTCGCAAAGATAATTTTCCATGTTAGAAGGCAGTATGTTCTGGAAGATTAAGTACAGGCTGGAAGGCAGGAATTCAAATCCTCTTTGCAAGGTGGAGAGTCACACACACCCCAGTTCACTTCTGTGTTAGGTTTCCATTCTGCAGACGGGTGTAATTACCTAACTCACCAGCTACAAACTATCATGCTGTATAAGGGTCTTAACACGGGAAAACCTCTGCCCCAACAAAACCTTCCCCTTCCAGAAACAGTAAATCTTGCTATGGTAGATACGTCTCATTTTTAGTACAGAGTAACACAAAGCGCCTGTAATCTGAAAGCACGTGTCTAAAGCATATATGATGTGTGTCTACCTCTAAGATAATTTCCCTTTAAAATCAATGGAGAGAAATAGGACTCAATAAAGAGCAATTTATCTCAGCCTAAATAGATGATATGAACCACGCCACTGAAGTGCCTGTTTCCCTCTACTGCCTGTAAAGGCAGACACAAAGACTAGCTCTCCTGCATGTACCTGTACTGTAATTAAATGATGGCTCCTGCCCACAGAAACACATTACAAGCCTTAGTCCTACAGGCATTCATGTTTATGCATAACTTCACCATTGCAAGTAGTCCCATTGATGTCTCACCTAGTAATATATTAACATCTTTAGAAATGCTTGTGTGATTATAGCACCTAACTAATATAGCTAATTTGGGACAAAACAAAACATCCCTACTTCCCTGAATTCCAGAGCAATCAAGAAGGATCCATCACAAACTTAGTCATGGCAATAACTGTTATAAACAGTGCTATACACCATGAATGCCGGGAACCAGTATTTTTGTCTTTTTTAATGGACCATATACACCTTAAATATTACAAAGATAAGAACCCAAATAGACAAGTTATCATAAATTCTAAGGTAAGTAACGAGTAAGCAGAAAGCTGTGAGCACTGTACTGAGGTTATCACACATTGCTGCCATCAGGGCTGCAACATCCTGACCCACTGAGCAAAATTTGGGAATCATTCCCAGAGCAGAGACTTCACCTTTACTGCGCCTATGCATTTATAATAATAAAGAGTGAACAAAAATCACAGCCAGGGATGGAGGTCAACACAGATGAAAAAAAAAAAAACACCACTGAAATTCACAATATCAGAATGTAATAATGAAAATATTTATAAACAAAATGTAACAAGCTGAAAACAGGACACATTTAAGATACATAATTTTAAGGTCAAGAAGAAAAGGCTTGACAGAGCATAAAAGCAATCACAATTTCCTGTATTTTTTTTAATACAGGTTATCTTTTTCTCTTGGTATCTACCTTACTTTAGGAATACAGGAAATTACTAATCCAATACTGCATTATTTTTTAAGTGTTGTATTTGTTTAAATACAGTGTGTATTCCAACTGAGAAAATGTATCAGTATTTTTGTAGTTTTTTAATCCTCTGTTAAGACTACTACTGATGTAAAATTAAGCTAACGTGATTTTCTTAAAAAGTATTAGGAACCAATTTTCTGGCTAGTTACCATATACACCATTCTATATTTTTAACTGTTGTCTGTAAACACAAGAATGCTGACAAGTTTTGACAGGGCAAAGCTACACCAAAGCCCTTTTTAATGCCATTCAAAACCAGCAAGAATGGATGAGAGTACATATTTTCAGACTGATTTTGATATTAGCAACCCTGCAATCTTATTTGTAAACATGTATGAGCTCTCTCTATAAAAACACGTCTCCAAGTAACATCTAAACTCAGTGAAAGGACAGTATTCTGTCAACTACTGAAAATGGACTTAATGATTAATATCTGGTCTATTTACAGCTTGCAATATTTTTGCATTATTCAAAACCATTTTATTATCTAATTTAAAGCCATGAATATTAAAGCCTTTCATGTTTATGGCAGATTTCTCCAAGTATCACATACTAATTCCAGCAAAGCTTTAAAGCAGAACTGAGAAATCTAGAGCTCACAGGGTAGAAAAGGGTCACAGGGTGGATGAGCTCCACAACTTCTTATGATACAACTTGCAAGGAAAAGATGCATACTTTTGTATTATCCAGCAATAATGCAAAAGGTCAAGGTAACTTGGAGAAGTTATTTAATTGAAAATTTTATTCGTGTTGTATCAAGATAGAAAAAATCCTAACTGCTAAAAAATGCAACCAAAATGCAACCTTTATCCATCAGAAATTTAAAGAAAAGGGGAGTATTTCCCTTTAAACCAGAAATGCTTAGTATCTGGCTTGCTGCCAATTAAGAATGTGAAGCAGGAGGCATTTCAACACCTACACAGCCTGTAATTTTCCAACTGCGCAAGATTTTTCTTCTATTTCTTCCAAAGAAGCTGCACCATAGATTTTCTTTAAATATTAAAGGCTTCAGGATTATAGTGAATTATTGCTAAATGCTCAGATTTAGACATTTTTGTACTAATAAACGTATTAAAATAAATGCTAAATCTTTTCTTCAGAGTCACAGTAAGCTCAACGTAATGAAGGTGCCATTCCTTTATTAACAGTTCTAACTATAGAAGAACTCAACAGAGCCCTATACTTAGAAGCAATTTAGCTCAACCCCTTTTGTGCTAGCAAAATCCACATAGATAATATCATTTAAATATAAAACTTCAGGACTCATCTTCTGAGTTCATCCTACAGGAGATCCCAGTGACTTTACAATGCTGGGAATCCTCGACCAGGGGGGAAAGCTCTCACGCCTGAACACTTCTGTCCTAATACTCACTGCTTCTGCAACACCAGCTGCTCGCTGCCAGCTGGCAGTACCAGAGCTGGTCTAGCTACAAGGCTCATTGAAGAGCTGGTACTTCTCAAGTGCAAGCGTAGCACTAAGCCTCTCCCTCTAGCCCCTGCATTTTTAACTTGATTTTTCTACCCTCATAAAAAGAAATCTACATTATATTTGGGACTGCCTTGAGACTGGAGCAAATCCTCCTAGAAACCATTTACAAACATACAAAGGACAAAAAAGTGACCGGGAGTCGTCAGCCTGGATTTGTGAAGGGGAAATCATGCCTGACCAACCAACTTGACAGCCTTCTACAACACGATGACTGGCTTGGATGGTGGGAGTTGTTTATATTATTTTAGCAAGGCTTTTGACATCAATATCCTCATAGAAAAATTAACAAAGTACAAGCTAGGTTAATGGAAAGTGATGCAGACTGAAAACTGGCTGAACTATCGAGCTTAAAGGGTTGTGATCAGTGGCAAGGCAGCCAGCTGGAAGCCAGCCACAAGTGGTTTACCTCAGAGGTCTACACTGGGGGCAATAGTCTTTAACGTCTTCATTAATGACCTGGATGATAGGACAGAGCACACCTTCAGCTAGTATGCAGGTGGCAGAAAACCAGGAGGAGGGGTTGATAGACCAGATGGTTGTGCTGCCTCAACAAACCAACAGGGATCTTACGAAGTTCA